GGAACTAAAGAAAACATGTTGGAAATCGAAGGATAAGCCGCTGTAAATAATGAAATTGTTCGCATGAAAAAGCGGTCAGTGGTCGAGTTTCGAAGGTTCTCACTTTTTTTTCGTCTGTAGATTTTTCGTGCAGATTATATTAAAGTCGGAGTCGAATTTTTTTTATTATTCCCTAGCGATCAATAATTGGAAATTAAACGGGCGATCCGCTTAAATGAAATATCGGTAATATCGTTCGAAAGAAAAAGGAAAAAAAATTCGATAAATTTCGATCGACGAAGCGAAATTCGATGCGATACCGTTAATAAGAATTTCAAAGTTGAGTCCTCTTTGGTTATCTCAAGTGTCCGCTCGCTTTATTGATTCTCAATTTACTTGAAAGGATACCGACGAATTTACAAAAATTTCTTAACAAGATCGCACCACGGATACGATAAATATTGTTTCTATTTGTTCTAAGCATTAGCATAATAAGATGTTACGCGACAAGTAATAGAGAATATTTAACTAATTATTTGATTCATCGGCAAACAGTAAATTTGATTTGACAGAAATTAAGCGTTGCAACAGAGAGTTTTTAACTTATTTGTTTATCGATTGTTATTCCAAAAGTGCACATAATATTTGCTTAATACTTTATTCAATGTTTGTATGCTAGTAAATATTCCAACTCTATTCAAACTCTGTGCACGATGATTTCGAATTATTCGATAAATCGTACCCTACTTGACGCTGTTTCTACACACTTGTTCGAAATTTATTTATACAATGTGAAAGATTTACGGAAACAATGTTTCTTTATCAAAGAATATATTTATTATAAATTTATATAAATTCTTGTAAAATTTATTTACGCTTGCTTTACTTAAAAATCTAATCAACGTTAAAGATCGATCGATTAATCTTGCCTCGATTACAAAAGAATCGAAAGGGATATCCTCCTTTTTCATTAACAACTTTACCAAGAACTTGGTAGATTATATAAAAAAGATTCCATAATCGTTCTCCAATTGAAACACAATTGGCGGACACGAAGATTCGAGGATTGAAGGAGAGATGGAGAGATTCAACGAGATCAAGGGATAAAAAGTGAAAGACAACCGCTTAAAGTTCGCGAGGGTGGATCGACTGACAGCAACCCTCCCCCACCTGAAACTACTTGTTACTTTTCTCTCTCTCTCTCTCTCTTTTTTCTTCAACTCTCGTGCCCCGAAGGTTGCTCTGTCGGGAAAAGTTCGAAAGTTGCCCGAAGGTAGATAGATTTCTCTCTCTCTCACTTTGAGAAGAAAATCGCGAATACTTGCTCCTCGAGCGTGCACAGCACCTTAAAAATAGAGCTGACGCGCTCGAGGGTCAATAGAGCAATCTCTGTATTCCAGACAATTGCCCTTCCCTCTCGAGACGATCGACTCGAGCCGCGAATCGAAAAACCGAGATCTTCGAGGCCCTCCCTTTCGCTCTTAGAAAAAAATTGAAAGATCGTGGATAACGATTGAGAGAAAACGGGGGTAAAATCCTTTTATTTCGAACAGCAGTTCGAAAGGAATAATAATAATACGTTTCGGTTTGTTTCGCTTTAACTTTTTACACCTTCGTAATTATTATTGAATTATCGGCGTTTATTAAAATTTCTCCGCCGCGTGTGTTGGAATGGGGCCATTGCCGTGCACGCGGTGTTATTTAATTTACAACAAAAGGTCATCGTGTACAAATATATAGGAGGATATATATTTTTCAATCAAGAATCACACTCCTGTTCTCAAACATTGGATTGGAAAAGTGATGCTGCCCGTTACTGTTATTTTTGCTGCGGTTTCCATCCGTATTCGATTCGAATTAAACGTTAATAATATTTTAATTAAACATCGGAAGGGAATTGTAAATGCGCATTATCAAAACCGACACTCGGCCCGTATTGTTGTCGATTTACAGCGGCGGCCGGCAAGAAAGATAAAGTTTATCGTTCCTCAGTTGTTTAACGGTTCCCGCGATATAAAATAAATAACAACTATGGCATTTCCAATTGTGTGTATTTTAATCCTATGCGGTTCCACGTTTCACCCCCTCCACCCTTTATCAATAATCAATCGAAACGCGGAGAATTAATCTCTCTGCACGCTCGTAAATTCCCTAAAAAAAAAGAAACGATCATTTTTCTTTCTTCTTCTCGATTATTATACTCGATGCAATTAATCGAACCAATATCTTTACCCTCCCTTCAAAATTATACTCGACCGTTATCATACATACCGTTCTAATTACACAAGATTCAGAAGTCGTGTTTTCACAAGTTTCGTTACATCACACGAAATCCTTTCCCTGTTTTTCTTTCCAGGTTTAGGCTTGGGTCCGCACACGCCCGAGGAAGCAGCCGTCCTGGCGGCAGCGGCGGCAGCGTTGCACCATCATCATCAAGGCGGTCCTGGTGGACCAGCGATGAGGCCGCTCAGGCCCCCCTTACCCCCGGGGATGCTGCACACCTCGCCACACCCTCTGGCGCCGCACCACCCCCT